ATATACCCAAAACTGAGCATAGGCTTTTTCATCTTGACAGTCTCAGGTGGGAAGCCAGTATCAATGAGCAAGAATATGGATCCAGAACACCACTATGTATGCGGAAAATCAGTGTTTAATCCTTCTTGGACTCCAGAGATTTGACGCACTTGAGCTTCTCTACTGTAATCCTTGACAAATTCTGCAATATATTTTAAAGACTAAAATAAACGGTATCAGCATACATTCATTGATCAAGTCTACAGAAATAACTCATAGATATATGACATTTAGCATACATCATCCTGCAGATCCTTGAGGCAATCTGAGGTGGCCATTGCGAAAGCACATGCTATCTGCTAGGTATAACATGCTCCTTCAGTAATTTGTGAGTTTTATCAAGAAATGATCTTCTCACCAATGGAGAATCATCCTGAAATGTGTGAGGAAAAAAATGAACATGAAAATATAAATAAGTGGCAATTCAGGAGTGCCAATGAAATAAAATTTGAAGAAACTGAAGAGTATATAAACAGGAAGGGATGCAAACAACTAACTGGACTAAGCATTAACTGGTGATTGATACCAGATACAAAACACATCTATTGCATAGTTCTCAATGTCATCTAATATTTATCTTTTATAAATTTTATCAAGTGCATTTCTTTTACCATTTGTCAATCAATCTATGAATGGAACAACTCACTGGAAGACTCGGTGAATATTATTAAGTTAGTGACAGATGCATTTATACTTTAGCTATAACTAATTATGAGCTGCAGGGACCAGAATCTCAAATTCCATCAGGATTGAGGAATATGTTTTCATTAGTTTTACAGGAAGAAATGAAGCTGTAACAAGGAGTCCACATGAGTGAAACATACAAAAGATTGTGTTCCAAAAGTGAACGTTACTACTCCCATTTCAAGTTACAAACTTTAGTAAGCAAGAGAACAGGTAACCGAGAAAAATGAAGGGCAACACTAGGATACATAAATGAAAACCAATCAGAAATACCTTTGCCATTAAAATTGTGAAGTGAAAGATCTCTGGAGAAATATGGAAATCCCATCTTCGAGCAAGCCGGAGAGACAGACTTTGCAGCAGCTAATCTAATACAAGCCTTATCACTTTCACTGCTTTACAGAACAAGTGAAACCAAATGAGTGGTGTCCAAAAATACTTTTGATATGCAAGTAAAAAGTATAACATAATTCAATGAACATAAAGATTTTAAAAGCACAACTAAAGGTTGAAAAAGACTTTTTAAACTCTAAAACACCTCAAATTTTAGGTCTTGAGTACTTGTTTGGTAGGATGATTTTTAAAACTTAAAGACTCAAAACCAAATTAAAAACTTGCCTAGTTGAAAACATCAAAAGTGAGTTTTTAGAGTTTTTTAAACTCATGTCCAATGCTTTCTCTATCTCCGAATATTTTATGTGCACATCTTTTCTCTTTCCTATCTTTCTCTCTCCTCCGACACTTTCTTATCTCTCTCTCTCTCTCTGGATTTCCATGTCCAGTTGTTGTTATCGACTCCACTGTAAGATGAGGTTTTTTTATAATTGTTAGATTTTAAAACAATTTTGAATCTCATACCAAAGGAGCTTTTGAGTCTTAAGGAAAATTGTTCTTAAGAGATGTTTTTAAAAAAGGCTACGAGAATGATGAATTTTTTTTTTAATAGGATACCAAACGGGCCCTTAAAATTGTAGCCTTTTTATTCAGTTGTTTGTTGGCTCATTATTGCCATTCAGCATAATGAACAACAATCACAAACTCACAGCAAAAGGCTACACAAATAGTTAAGAATCTCATCTCTGAACATGAATCGACAAAATTTCGTCAGTTTCTAAAGTACCCTTCCTCCCAAATTAACATAAGACTGGGTAAAAAAAAAGTAACAGTAAACTTAACCACTCATTCTTCTGAAAACAAAACCACATTTTTAATTGCTTCATTCAAACACCATAGGGATTCTAGTCAAAAGCTGAGATAATATCAAAGCACGTCAAGTATAAGCTAGAAGTAAAAAAGAAAACTCAGCGCAAAGCAGAGATATAAATAATTAAATGATTTAGTCAGTTTTACCTTCTTTAATTTGGCTTGAACCATAATGAAGAATTAATCCCATATAAAAATTACGGAAGAGGTGAGCTCAGACTTATAAATTTTCTATTTCAAGGAGTCTGAAATCATACCATGAGGTGATACCCTCAGCAGTTTCTCCCTTTTGCAGCATTGTTGACAAAATGTCCCAGAGCTCATCAATTTGCCGTTTGGTGTTGTCCTCAAGCTCATTAATTTGCTGTTTGGTGTGAGTTCCCCTGTGTGGCAAGAAGCTCTTGACAAGTGTTTTCAGGCCATATATCTGCAAAATAAATGATTAAACCAGAGGAACCATGGAAATATCTGTAAGAAATGAACAATTTCTATACAGTAATTCTCAAAGTTTTATAATCATCATTGGTGATTTTGGACCCTTTGGTGGGTTGATCCTTGCATAGACAGAGCACTTCTTTCACATGAGCCCGTAACAACACTTCTAATTCATTAACCTAACTAATACATACAGGCTACGTGCAAACTATAACAGTGCCAAAGATTTTAACCAAAAAAAAAAGTATCCAATCTGTAAACCAAAGCTTTTAGTAACTAAATGGTGTAATGACATACTTTCTCCTCTTTCATGGTACGGTAACATTTCAGCAAAAATTTAAATTGATTAATTCCTATGAAAAAAGAAGGAAATTTTTCGTGGAGAGCAACTCAATTTCACTGAATTGTCAACTGTTTCATCAAATCCCACTCACAGCTCAACTGAACTCAAGTTTTTTCTAATACAAAAAGCCATGACCAAAAATTTTTCTAGCCTTCACTGCATAGAATATTTGTTCTCTCACATTAATTGATTTTTTTAAGCATATAGCATTGCAAATTAATCAATGTATTACAAGGCTCCGCGCAGACGAGGCGTTCCATGGATAGCCCCGCCTAGGCGTGAGGCTGAGGCTTCGCCTCATGGGACCTAAATTTTTTAATATATACAATATATATGTATATATATAATAATAATAATGATATAATATAGTATATTACTTCGTAAAACAATTAATCAACAATCAAACAAGCAATCAAGATCAAATTGAGATTAGAATACTAAAAAACTTGAATTTTGAAACAAATTGTGGTGGTGTGGAGAACTTGAAACAAATTGAGGTATGAGATTGGAGTAAAATTGAAATTATGGGATTGGATTGAAAATTTAGGGTTTGAGGAATTGGGTGAAAGCAGAGAGAATCGGGAATTGGGTGGTGAAATATAGCAGAGAAAATCGGGTATTGGGTTGGGAAGAAGAATGGACCTACTGTGATTATGAAAAATAAATAAAAAATTAGACTTGGCCAAAACAACGTCGTTTTGGGCCAAGCCATTTTAAAATAAATTAAAAGACTGCCAAAACGGCGTCGTTTTGGTCCAAGTCTTTAGAAATAATAAAATACCCTTCTTCCTAGCGTGGTCGTCTTCTTCATGAAGACGCCGCTGCAACACACCAGAGCAGAGGTTTTCAGAAAATTTCAAATTTCAAGCAAGAATTTGGATCACTTAAGGGTACTGGGAACGGGCAGTCAACGCCTCAGGCACACCTCGGCCGCCTAGGCACGCCGTAACGAAGCCTAGGCGAGTTTCTGCCCTACTCCCCGAAAACACAGGTGAAATTGCTGCCCTCCCCCCCCCCCCCCCCACAAAAAAAGGGCGCCTCTAAGGCCACCTAGGCATGCCCCGAGGTGTGTCTTTTAAAACACTGAAATCAATCATGTATAACGTGCTTTTCAATGGTATAGTATATTAGCAGAATTCAAGAAGGTAAAATAGGCACATCTTCCCTGTACACTAGACAGAAAATCCAAACTTTGATGGTAAACACCATTCACAGCTGAACAAAAATACTAATACAAGTGAAAAAAAATGTTCCCATCCAGAACGTACCTTTAATTTGCAAGAATCACTAGACCCGGACGCATCATCACAGGAGTCTATAAAATCTGAAGAGTTCACCTACACGGAAGAAGTTAACGTAATATACTCACAATTTTCAACAAATACTTGAAGCAAATAAATATTCTACAACATCTGCGACCCTTGTTTAGGGAAAATAAAATATCTATATTCAAAACCAACTACATTCTGGCATGCCAAAATTCAAAGAAAGTGTTCATATTTATCTAACGGTTGATGTGAATTACTTGGAATATTTTTTGATATATATAATGGGTGATCTCTCCAACTTGGCTTTGGAATGTTGAAACAGAATGCTGTGCAAGACACCCCAAGGACTGTAACACTGTTGGTATGTTCTGCCCAACTAGTAGAGAATCCACAAGTTCCTAGACATATTGAACAAAAGTTGATTCAGTACGGATAACTCAGCATTATTTGAGAATACATGCAAGTTATGACATTGTAAAATATGACAATTCCGAAATTCTTAGGGTTATTCAGATGTACAGCAAACAAATACTGCGTCTCACTAATACATCCATATATAACCCAGTGGCAGATTTGGGTCCCATATGAGGGTGAACTTAAACAATGATAAGACTATAAATAGAATAAAAATGCATACAGTACACACACGCACATGCACACACACGTGGATATAAAAAAATGGTAACGCAATACAGTTAACAACTTATTAGGAGGCAAATGAACGCCATAAAGTGTATTAAAAATATAAATATGACTATCTATAGAACATAGTATGTGTGAGGCTGAAAGATACATAACCATAAGTAAGGATAAACAAACCTAAAACGCTAAAAATCAAGCTAAGCATACCTTACATAGATCTTGGAAAATCAATTGCTTTGAATGATCAGCTAAAGCAGCAATTGCTGAAACAGCATATTTTGACTGAACGCGAGTCCCCTCCAGACAAACCCTCTTCAGAAAGGGGTAGATTTCACTTCAACAAAAGAAGAAAAAGTTGAAGCCACTCCCAAAACATTTGGATAAAACAGGTTTAGATTTCAAAAGGCTTAATATTTAACAAAAGGAATGGAGAGGAAGGACACTCTTTCTCATTTAACTGTTGCCAAAAGAAATATTCCATGTGTAAGCAAATACCAAAGGTTAGAAGCACAAATAGCATAATATGCATATTAAAGTTTGGGGTATCTTAACCATTTACCGCTGCATGTGTAAGGAATAGTTAATCACACCCATTAGAAAAATTGGGAGACTTGACTTTCAGAATCCATGCACATGTTACAGAATAAAAATCATTGATTTGAGCTCTTTTATAATTTTTATGGATTGTGTGCACCATGCACAAGCTCTTTTTAATATTTATTTAACAAAAACAGTTCTGACAAAGAAGAAACATCCAAACTTGAATGACAGAACAAATTAACATCAGAAATAAGATATGAAAAAATAAAAAAAGGACATCCTTCACAATACAGTCTCCATTGGAACATAAAACTCCATCCTGCTCAAAATGTACAAGAATCAGAAAGACTGCAGAAATTACCTGAGTTTAACAAATATGTGAGGGCCTGCTTTGGCTAAAACTTCAATCAACTTATCATTAATTGGGTCCGTCTCCTTTAATAACTTCTGAAGTTGCACTTCTGAACCTCTTAAGAGAGTTGGGAAAAAGCTGGTGATTGACTGAACCAGAAAACAATTAAAAGACAATTTCAATCAGTGAAGAGACAAAAATATTCCCCAAGATACTTAGATAGTACTTGCTCACACATCCAAACTTGTTTCTCCTAGTCTTATATTATATAAAACATAGATACAAGATTGAACTCATTAAGAGAAGGCAAATGCTAATACACTATATACGCTAAAAAAAAAAAAAAAAAAAAAATATAATATCTCATCTGCTTATGGAAAGCTAACCTAATCTCTCAAGCTTTATCCCAACAGAAATGCAAGAAACCAATTTAGGCCAATATAAGTTAAACGAAAAGGCAACATACTGATACTACCAATGCCAATATAAGTTAAACAACATACTACCAAACGACAACATTACAACAACAACAACAACAACAAAGCCTTTTCCCACTAAGTGGGGTCGGCTATATGAATCCTAGTACTCTAAGTCTTTTCTTAGAGTCTCTTCCAAAGTTTTCCTCGGTCTTCCTCTACCCCTTCGGCCCTGGACCTCTGTCCCGTAGTCGCATCTTCTAACCGGAGCGTCAGTAGGCCTTCTTTGCACATGTCCAAACCACCATAACCGATTTTCTCTCATCTTCCTTCAATTTCGGCTACTCCTACTTTACCTTTGATATCCTCATTCCTAATCTTATCCTTTCTCGTGTGCCCACACATCCAACAAAGCATCCTCATCTCCGCTACACCCATTTTATGTATGTGTTGATGTTTCACCGCCCAACTTTCCGTGCCATTCAGCATCGCCGGCCTTATTGCCGTCCTATAAACTCATTCTAAGACCTGACACTTGTAAGTCGTACAATTCAGTTCAGTCCATAAATTGAACCATGCTATAAATGCTATATGTGCTTTCCATATTGTTGCTTGTCAACCACAACAAGGGTAATCATGGCCAATGCTCAAGTTTACACACTAAAGTTGTGTTTTGTGTTTGCCAATTGTAAGTGTTAACACAAGCACATGAACCCTTCATGGTCTTTCTCTCGTATGGTTAGCTTTTGTCTTTTTGAGCACATGAACTTAATCTAACTTTGTTCACATTCAAAATTTTTACGCTTCTGCTGAGGGAAAGTATTATTTAGATCCACTAAGCAAAACAGATAGAAAAAAACCTTCTTACCAGCAGAAGTCTGACAGAAGAAGCCTCCAAGTTTGTCTTTCCAGGACTGTTACCGGATAGATCATCTAGAATACAGCGAACATGCGCTGCACTGAATATATTGTAAGAGCATTTTGAGGAAAGTGTTCGTAAAAACTCAAAATTCTGATGTTTCCCGCCAATCATATTCAGAAATTTGTCCTGAAAATAAGAAATGAATAAGTAGACAACACAATTTTTAATGAAGAAAAAAAACAGAGAAAAGTAAATTATAATTTTGTTACTATCAGGTATCTTAATCATACAAAAGAAAAATCACCAATAAAAAAGGAGACCATTGTTTGACACCACCTCATAATTAACCAAACTGAAATGCAACTTGCCCTTCCACATTATAAAACAACTCCCATAAAATGCAAGGAGTCAAACTATCTATTCAAGAAAACAAAAAGTTGACCTCGCTTGACCTAACTTTATTCACCCCAAGACTTTTCATGGGCCTAATCCTTTTAACATCCATTCAAATGCTTCATCTCAACCCCAGGGGCATGTCAGTCCTCATACTGGTGAAAGCTCAAATTAAGAGAACCTCTACAAATTATAAGTGCAAATTGTGTATAGCACAAGTGGTCTTCGTGTAATTGTGGCTATCACCAGAGAATTCAATAATGTGTTTCTGGGTTTCCGAAGAAGTTTTGGATGACTCCACATTACCATATTTACATTATTAAACAAAAAAAGCAATTAAGCCTTATCTCAGAACTGGAATCATCCACATACACCTTGACCTGCCTCGTCACAACATGATTCAGATTTTAAAGTTTCATGCCTTACAAGCACTGTTTACAATTTACCCCAACTCCACAAAAAATTACCAATATAAGACGGAATATGCCTATTCAACTGTTTTGCTTCATCCAATCACACATGTTCTAAGATCTTATATTTTACTGTTTAATTAACGAGTGAATAGGGAATACACGTTTTTGCCTCCCCATATATCATGAAACACTTACAATTAAAAGGCAAGTTTCATTGAACTTAAAGCTCTGCTTTTCAATGTATATTGACTAACCAATTCAGTGACTCAGACAATCTTCAATCAAGAAAATCCAACTGAGATAGACAACAAATGCCATAAAGAACCTTTATTAGGAATTAATTTCTTTACCTATTTTGAGCAATGAAATCATACAATGTTTATAAGAGAAAACATGCATGTTACCTTTTCAATGTAAGTCAACCAGATTCAAAATTAATGAGCTACGGATACACAAAAAGAAATAATTAGCTTCGAAATCTATGTTTACCGCATTGGAAATGAGAAATCAGATTATTAATTGTTAGCCACTGATCTGTTTATCTGCCTATATACATACCAATATATATTTACATATATATATATATATATTTGCAACAAAGTCATATATGTGGGTTCCATACAAACAAAGTACTGTATGCACACAAATAAGTACATGCATGTTCCCAACAATCATGCACGTGCGGAAGTGGCTCAAAGAGGAAGAAGGGCATTCATGGGATCATTTAATTAAAAGTAAAGGTTAAATAAACGCACTCTGCTTGCACGGGCTTCTTTAAATTTCAGGTCATCCAATAGCAGAGCCAGTGAATTAAAAATGTTATTATCTTTCATTTGGTTAAATTTTTCAAAGCACTCTTCTGCTCTTGAAGGGTCTGCAAAGGAGACTGCCATTTTTGAGAACTGAACTTTATATCTCTTCTGCATCTCTTCTGAATTACTCCCCTGCAACATCAAGTTAATTGCTTCAATTATTCAAAACTATTAAAGTGTAGCCAAGACGTGAAAAGCTGCCATTCATTGCCTGTATACACCAGGAAACTTATACAACTTTCTTCAACAACAACAACAACAACAAAGCCTTATCCCACTAAGTGGGGTCATCCAATTAATGAGTGGTAAATTTAAGTGGGGCCATACAACTTTCTTCAATGAGTAATAAATTTAAGAAAATGAATTATTAACAAAGCATAGAGCACACTAAATAAATTTCTGATCAGCTGAAAATTATAAGGAATATTCACAAAGTCTATTACATAGCATTAGTCACATGCACAGTGATGTATGCTGAAAGCTTTGAAAATTTGGTGCAGTAATTTATCTCAAAGGAAGCATAACATCCACTAGTTATTGATTTTTCCGGGGAAAAAAAAATTTCACGATAATGATAAGCCACATTTTAGGCCTCTAGAATAAGTCTGAACAAATTCATTGAAATGCAACAGTTACCACGCTCTGATACTTGTTTGAGCACTAGGACAAATATTCAGTACTAAAAATATACAAAATTACGTCTAAACAAGAAAATGTGGAGAAAAAAAATTCTTCCAAATGGAATACTCATAGAGGGAAGCAATTGCTTTTATCACCAGCATAACAACTATATACATTCAACAGTTTCGTAAGAACATGTTTCAATACCAAGATTTGTTTACTTTTGGATTTTAATAAGCATCCGGCCTCAAGCAATCTCTATTCACATAAAGGACCTTAAATATACTGTAAATTCATAATAGTGTTCACAAACTAAAATTGTCCAGAAACTAACAGTTGAAAATATTAATTAAGCATGCTTTTCCAAAAACTCACATAAATTAGTTCAAGGACCACACGGCATCTCGATAATGGATAGTGCACAATATATTCACTAGCTATATACAAGTCATGTTTAGCAAGCACGAGATTCAATTACTGTACCTTCTCTTTCTTTCGATTGGCTAAATAAGTTTGCATCTCACTTTGCAACCTACAGAACATTTGTACATTGTAAAGAAAGAGGACATTCACCTTAACCACAGCAAGAGCAAGTTAGTGATAAATACCTTTGTTTCTGGGATAAAATAGAGTTCAAAGCCTTTATATGAAGTGGGGTGAAAAGAGAAAACAAGTGGATCCAGTGCCTTGTAATTTCATGAACTGAAAGACCAGCTGGAAATAGATCTTCTGCAAGAACAAGCTCCATATTTTGGGACCTGAAGTAAAACAATAAGGAATGAGAGTCAAATACAACATTGTACAGCATTGACTTTATTCTAAAAAGCTATAACATGTGAGAAAACAAACCTGAAATCCATACAATCTTTATCAAAGCATAGCATCAATATTTTACAAGGAATCTGTTCAAAGTGGTCACTGATTGTCAAAGAGCCTTTAAAGCATTTGTTACAATAATCTCGATATACTTCCATCAACTTCTGCAAAGCTTTCTTTCTAACGGGTATCTGCAAATAATGCAACCAATTATCAATACAAGACAGCAAGTGTAACCTGGCGAACCAAAACTATTTGTTATAGAAATACCTTCTTATCCCTAAGTCTTTCAGTGGTCTGAGATATTATTTTGGGAGGAAAGCATCTCATATTAGAAATGGCAAGATCACAGGCAACAATCACTGCCTGTGTTCTCACCCTATCATCAAAATCTAGTAGCCGACTTTCAAGGGCAGCTGTTTAGAGCAACAAACAAGTAAAACTAAGATTCCAAGAATTACACAACCATAACTCGTATAGGAAATAGAAAATGTTTCGTAACTTACGGAGAATTTCTTGTGATTCTGCCCCAGAGGGGTTGGTCATGTAGCAAACTTTAGCACATTGCAGAGCACTAACCCTAACATCCGCAGATTTATCTGAAAATCTTTTCAAAAACTCAACAAAGAGGTCATGATACCTTTGTGCAATATGGTGATCAGGCAGTGTGAAAAGTTTTCCAATTAAATTAACGGCTTTTAGTCGGACATCAACCTGATCAGTCTATAGAAAAGAAAAAAAAAATCAGAGTCAAGTGATATTTAATGATTTAGGTAACGAGCATAAAAGGAACTTAAAGAGAAATCGAAACCTATGCCAGGAGATGAAATGATTAAATCAATCTAAAATGAATTAAAACAAGAAGACATACCAGTAACTCTTGAGTCAAATTTGGCATGACAGCAAGAAGCATCTGAGGAGCACACCCAAAAATTTTAAAAATGATTTCATGGTAAAATTCCTTGAGCTCACTCCCATCAGCATCTCCATCCAAAATACAAGATGTCAGAAACCCACAAACAAAGGACTCAAGTTTGTCTGCGCATGTTTGGATCACAGAAACTGCAAGCTGAGAAGAAGCAGAATCTGCATCCTGTGAAACAAAATATAAGAAAAAAACACTACTTCTGAGTTAATTAAGCTAAATATTGATATCGGGCATTAGCAGATAAGAAGCACTACTCCATTTATTTCACCAAAAGATAATTTGTAGTAAAACTAATTTACAATGTAAAACAATTTACATGAAAAATGGGAATTTTCATTGCAATTTACTTTTGTTTGGGTATCAGACTTGAAAACGCCCATTTCATTACAAATTCCTCAGTTAAAATACCTATTTTTGTCCAGAAAGGCAACCAGAAGCATTCCAAACAGTATACAAAATCACACATTCACCAGTAGTTGATACTCATTTTTTCTTTCAGGTTGGAGACCCAAATTAAAAACGATTAATCGATGATCTCACAAGCAACTAGTACAGGAAGAAACAGATTCCAATTCCATAAGATCTTAGTCTAATGCGTCTAATAGTTCAACGATAATAAGGTCCAACCCAGTGAATGTACAAGCCCCATATACACTCAGAAGTTTTATCCTCTATTAAATAACCTGCTTCCATCATTTACTACTTTAGCAATCACTCCATGTTTATAACATGCTACCTTTTTCAGCTTTTACAGCAGAACAAAAGAAATATCACGTATTTGACCAGAAAACAATGCATAAGGCATTTTCCCTAGCACCAACAACCAGACTATGAGAAGTGGATGCAACATTTTAAAGGCCATGCTAACACAATCCCACATGCTACCTCGTATCAGTGAAAATAAATAAACATGCATCAGAAAAAGCTCATATTATAACAAGCATTGGTTTGCCAACCGCTCTACTTAACATTGGTGAACACTATTTTGATATCAAAAACATGTAGAACTAGTTTATCATACAAAGAAATGTTTCTACAAACATTTGAAGCACACACTATCTAAAGCACGCACTATCTAACACTCGCCTTTGCCTCCTTCACAAGATTTCGTAGAACCACATCCAAAAGTGGCTGAGAAGCTTCCTCGTTTAGTATATGAACCATTATAGACAAAATATCATTCATCAAACTCTGCTGATGATGTTGCCTACAGGGGGAAAATGCAAGCCATTATTATTGATGTCATCATAGTTAAGCCCAAACTTTCAATACATTAAAACATAACAAATTGCTCTTAATCAATTCAGAGACAATATAATCTCAGATACTTAACTTGGTAAAACATAAAAGTAGAGCATGTTCTAGCCATCTAAGTTGCAGTCATTTATAACTTTTCTTTATTCCACGAAAGTGGATATCTAGTCGTAGAATGTAACAGGATAAGCATTGATTCCTCCAGAATTAGCAATTACGGAGCGCCCAAAACATAAAAGAGTAGAATGGAAAGTCAAATACTAAAAACGAAGGATCGTTACCTCACAACAGAGAAGAAGACATTGAACATTTCGAGAACTAGATCATTGCAGTCAACATCCAACATGATCACACAACATTTACATCGCGCAACAGTCTCTACTATTTTGGCCCTCCTCGAAAAGAGCGGGCTCTCCATATCAGCTAGCTCGACGAACGTGCTGATAATGAGTTTAAAAATGTTCTGAAACAAAATAGGAGTGTAAGCGTCTTTCAAATGATGAGTACACAGTGTAATCAAACATGGTCAAACACACACACATACCCTTAGATATTTGTCCGCAAAAGGGGGTTCGGGTGCCATAGCCCGAAACATTTCAGTTACACAGATGGCCACAAGAAGCCTGACGTCCTTATCCCTATGCTGAAGCAAGCCATGCACAATAGCTTCTCTCAGGGGCTCCAACTTCTTACAAGCTTCAGCCGAAGAAGCCTGTTCTAACTGCGACAAAGCACTTGCAGCTTGCTGCAAATCGAAGCGTACAAATTACAAAACAAGCAAAACCACAAAGATCAACTGAAATCACTACCCCGACGAAATGAACTAACTCAAAACACAAAAGTCCACATTAAACAAAAACCCACAATTCCATTTCAAACATAAAATTATAAAAACGATTCGAACACGAAAAATTGCTCACTCGGAGAGATTTGACGATGAAGTCCTTGTTTGGGCGCGTTTGGCGGCGGAGGTGGGTGCCGATTTCGGATACGAGTTGCAGCGCGGACTCAGCCATTGGGGCAGTGAATCGGATAGAAACCCTAACTCAGCGGAGGACGGTTTTGCCGGTGGTGCAGCGGGCGGACATTCGATCGACGGCGTAAACCGTGATTGCGGGCCTCGAGGGAGCACGAGAGCTTGACGAGTGTGACAAGAAAGTGGACTTCGGAGATTTGAGTGGGGAGGGCTAATTGCTGAGAGGCTCCCGCCTTTGGTGCGCGTTGAGAGAACGCGCCTTGTTGTGGGAGTGGTATGGGAATTTGGGCTGGGGATATTTACCAGCCGAATAAAAAATGGTTAGCTTTTGGGGTTTAAGTTAGTGTTTGGCACGTGGATAAAACGGAACGCACCTGTCGCATGTTTGTTGCGTCGAATTCTTTGGGACGCACTGTCCTGTGGAACGAATTTTGATTAAATTTCCGTTCCACTTTCTTCCTGAAACGAACTCGTTCCACCACATAGAACAGAAAATTATAAAATTTTAAGACAAAAATGCCCCTTGTCTTTTTTAATATTTACACCATCTAAATCATAAAACAAACCCTAAGGATGCGTTTGTTGCACCGAACTATCTCAGACTATATTAACTGCAGGGACAAAGATGGACTGGCTTAAACTAGACTAAGCTAGACTAATTTAGTGAAACATTTGGTGCAGTGTTAGACTAAGAAGCAAGACAATGAAAACAATAGCGTCACCAGTTTGATGTTTGCTCATACTAGGACTACATTATTGTTCTATTTTAATTATTTTTCATTAAAGATATTATTAAAATTAATAATATTGGATGAGAGTGAGACTCAATAAAAATACAAAAACCAAATTTTCTTGCCAACGAAAGAAACATACATGATTCAAGAGTAGTATTGTTCCAAACATGAATATAACAAAGTGTTCTCCCAACAATCGACAGGATTCAAGACGTTTTTCTTAATTATTCACCTTTGGTTTAAAGTTGTAGATTAAAGTTAAAGGTATTTGAGTAGAACGAAAATTGATGTCTAACAAGTTCAGTTTTTTACTCAATTATGGAATAATTACTTGGAATTGCTCTTGTATGTATATGCCAATTTTAGTCTATACCATAACAATTGCATTCAATCCCAAGACCACAATGATGCGAGGCAAAAAACCAAACCCAATTAGAAATGAATCCACCCTACACATCATTACTTGAAAGAAATAGTTCTCTGACAAGTTATCATTTTGTTTACATGCTTCCACACATACTCGCAACCTGAAAATACATTGAACCAACACAATGGCATGTCTGAAATCTAGACATGTAGTTTTCATTTGAAACGACATTTGAAACTTGAAGTACATTTAAATGACAATGTAGAGCCAAAAATAATCACAAGGCAACAAGTGGATTTTTGGATATAAGAGGACAAAAATACCCTTGAGACATACTGGAATTCCTACGCACGAGCAGCGGGCAATCATTCCTCAACCAAGCCAAAAACGCCTAAAGAAGGTAACAAATTCAAAATTATTTCATCCTTCCTCATTCCATATTCTCTACAAAGCAATCATTCCATAACTTACAAAATATTCCACATAAATTACATAACCTCCTAAAAATATTCCTTTTATTATGTTAATTAGCCAATTAATATATTTATTCCTAATCAATATATTAATTATTAATTAAATCACCAAATAACACCCAAAATATACATAAAGGCGGCCATTCTTTCTCTAAAAAGGACCGGCCATGCCCTATAAATATTACCCACTTTTCTCTAAAAACCTAGGTCCACACTCTTGCAAAACTCCAAAAACTCTCTAAAGACTTTTCTCTCTAAATTCTAACTTTAGCATCAGAGGTTCTTCGGCAAAAGTGTCACTTTAGCAGCAAAGTCCACTTTATCGCTATTCATAATAACAAGCCTTTCTGAATGAGAACCGGACTTAGCTCCCAACGGACGTCTTGGCACAAACTTTGGCACTGAGGGCATGACAAGACCTCTACATTGAGTAATACAATCAACAATCAAATTAGCCATTCTCGACATAGCAGCCGCCACAGGCTCAGATCTAGCAGCCTTATTTTTCTTCCTATTAGAAAAAGTCATGTCAATCATAGGCCTTTCGATAGCAGGTGGACCCTTATGAGCAGCGGAGGAAATCTTTAGTTTTTTCTTAATCAATATTTCTTGAGCAGACGGGGAAGATCTTTTCTTTCCACCTTCATTCACAGTAGGCTCCACGATAGAAATCAGACGAGCCAAAGTATCCGCCTTGATCCTCTTTTCCTTCTCTCGAGAGAGCAACCCACATTTATCCTGGTGAAGAGAACTAAGCAACCAACGCTATTCACAGTACTCAGCAGGGGAACTCAACCCATATTGGCTTTTTCCTCATTTTTTTCTCTCAGACCAGCAGGCAGAAGGCTTGCATGCCCATCATTCCAGTAGCCCATGAGGCCTTCGACCTCTTCATCTTTCTCAATCGCCGGCTTGGCCCCTATCAGGTCCAAGAAACCAGATGACATGAGCCATGCGACTCACCTAGCAATGTGCCCCAGCGCCTCAATCCGTAGCCCCAACCACACAAGCTGTCATTGGCTCTAACAAGCCAAGCAGCCCAAGCAGTGGTCCTTACCATAAAACATCCTCGGCCTATGCCGAGCCAACTCCTAGCCCCTGCCAGTTGACGTGCCACACCACCTCAACAGCTGCTCTGCGACAAAACTATCCAAGGGGAAAACAAGAAAAATTAAATTTTTCTTACCTCGGTGCAACACGAAGAAGACGAAGAAAGCAGCAAAAGACGATCCTTTGCACGGGCAAGTGTAAAAGATTGCTAGGAGATGGGGAAAAAATATCCTCTAGCTCCCTCTCTCTTGCAGGGTAGAATAAATTGATCTCCAAAATTGATTTAATAACCCACTTAAGGTGGACTTAAATAGGCTTTGAGAGAAATTTATTTCCCTTTCCTAAAAGGATCTAATTTCCTATTAAAGAGAGAATCAACATCAAAATAGGAAGCAGTCTTAAGTTTCCTAAAGCAAGAAGATCTCTACATCTGCTACCCTTTCCTGCGAGCAGCCCAACAAGTATGGGGGCATTTGTGGAGCCAAAAATAATCACAAGGTGACACGTGGATTTTTGGATAAAAGAGGACAAAAATACCCTTGAGGCATACTAGGATTCCTACACGTGAGCAGCAGGCAATCATCCATCAACCAAGTCAAAAGTGACTAAAGAAGGTAACAAATTCAAAATTATTTCATCCTTCCTCATTCCATATTCTCTACAAAGCAATCATTCCATAACTTACAAAATATTCCACATAAATTACGTAACCTCCTAAAAACATTCCTTTTATTATGTTAATTAGCCAATTAATATATTTATTCCTAATCAATATATTAATTGCTAATTAAATCACCAAATAACACCCAAAATATACATAAAGGGTCGGCCACTCTTTCTCCAAAAGAGGACCGGCCATGCCCTATAAATATTACCCACTTTTCTCTAAAAACCTAGGTCCACACTCTTGCAAAACTCCAAAAACTGTCTAAACACTTTTCTCTCTAAATTCTAACTTTGGCATCGGAGGTTCTTCAGCCAAAGTCCCTCCCCATTCATCGTGGGCGCGTGAGGCTCTTGGTCTTGACGCTAAGGTGTTAATTGTTTTGTAAGTGCAATTTTGTCCAAGAAGAAGGAGGCAGAAATTTGCATCCACAGACAATATATAACATATCAAGTCTATGATTAAAAATGAGTGATAACTCATATAATCCTCCACGGTATGAGGATAAGGGTAAGGTAACTTAAGCAGCTCAGTGTACTTGGAACAAACCACAATTCACTTCAAGCACCACATGCAGCTTTGCTATTCATTCTTCTGCAATGCTAGCAGCTCTTAGGTCCACACTGAGGTCAAGAACCTACTTAAACATTTCAAGAAATTTGGTTAAACCATATATGAAAGACATGGTTCTATGAAATAGTAAAAAGAAACAAAGGGATAACTCGGGATGAATAAATATCCACCAACAAGCTATTGGTTCAAACTAATATTAACGTCCCATGACCTTTAAATACTTTACTAAAAAAAGATTTACCTTGTTAGGCAAGTAAGAAGGATCACAAACAACTTTTTTGCACTTAGCAATTTCTCCTTCAAATATGACACCGATAACTTTCCCTTCCTCGTTGAACTCTACCTGGCATTATGCATCAAACTCAGTGTCTAGACAGGACACAAACTAATGCAAAATGAAAGAGTGTTAAAACCAAGAAAAATGTGTAAGGATTACCTTGCACTCAAGCTTATTCAACATATAAGTCCCACCATAAATTGCACTAGGCTTATGCAACATTTATGAACCCCGACCAGTATTTACCTTCATTCTCTTCATAGTATCTAGAGCAGGCTCATTCAGGTAGCGATCATCTCTATGAAGTGTCAAAGCATGCCTATTGAAGTCAACAGTGTAGTCATCAAGACCATATTTTCTGTCAAAACATCAACCACGCAAAAATATAAACAAATGTTCTTGGATTGTTACTTTATCAAAATAAGACCACCTTTCTTTTCTACAAGGAACCTTATACAATAGAAAACAAAGACAAAGCATCGATACCAATGAGACTGTAAAGACCACAAGTTATGATTCTTCTTAGAATGATTATAGAGTTCATTTGCAAAAAGGTTATTGCCCTATCACTTACGCGATCAAATCTCTAGTTGTCACTCTTGTTAAGTCCATTCCCTCATAGGATCAGTTTCACTATAATCTTGAATGTATAGGATGAACTTGTGTGTACGGTGCTTTTCAAATAGACCCATGAGTGGAGATTTAAGGGCCTCCATGTCAATTGCTGGAACCTCGTGAACCTATTGTAACAATTGAGATCCCATCCATAAGATTTAAGATGAAATTTATACAGGTCAGTGTGTGAGTGTCTTTGTGAATGTAGTTACTAAATGCAACTTAACTCATTTCTCAAACCCGATACCAAAATCCAAAAACTCTAGTCCAACTTGATACCAAAATTTGTTGAAACTAGACCTAAATAACAAATTTAACTTTGCATCCACACCCTTACAACAACAATTTCGTGATGATTATCATCATTTTGGGACTGAAAATGGCATAAAATGTGA